ATTTATAATCACTATAGGCAGTGACGGTATCAGAAACTGGCCAGCTTTTTCTTGGCTCCCTGATGCAGGGTGGGTCTCTTTGTTCCTGGGCCCTGAAATTCCAAGCTTATGGGTGTTTTTGTTGCACTGTTTCTGGAGTGTGGCTTGCAGGATTGAAGATGGGGTCCTGGCTTGGCACCTGTAGCACAGTGGTTATAGCAGCAGCCACATGCACGGAAGCTGGGGGTTCAAACCCAGCCTGGGCCAGCTAAACAATGACAACTGCAACAAAAAAATAGCCAGGCATTGTGGCAAGTGCCTGTAGTCCTAGCTACTTGGGAGGCTGAGGCTGGAGAATTGTTTAAGCTCAAGAGTTTAAGGTTGCTGTGAGCTGATGAAGCTACAGTCCTCTACAGAGGGTGACATAAACTATCTCAAAAAAAAAAAAATAAATAAGGGGGGGTCCTGTATTCTCCATGTTTCTCAGGTTGGATTTGAACTTTTAGCTTTAGGAGGATCCTTCTGCCACAGCCTCAAGAGTAAGCTGGTACCACAGGTACCACCATGCCTGGCTCAAGTCTTGTGTTCTTGAGCCTTGCTATTTCAAAGTGTGGTCCAGGGTCCAGTACTCTTGGAGTTCCCCCAAGAACTTATAGAAATGTAGAACCGTAGGCTGCTTCTCAGATCTACTCATTCAGAGGCCATTTCTCAATAAAGTCCTGAGGAAGTTGTAAAGCACATTCAATTTGAGGGATGGTTTTCTAGAGTAGGAATGTTAAAAATATGGAGGTCAGTCCGTGCGAGGTGACTCATGCCTGCAATCCTAGCAGTGGGAAGCCCAGGTCGGTGAATTGCCTGAGCTCTGGAGTTAATAGCCTGAGCAAGAGTGAGACCCTGTCTCTGCTAAAAATAGAAAAACTAGCCAGGCGTTTTGGCAAGAACCTATAGTCCCAGCTACTTGGGAGGCTGAGGCAAGAGGATTGCTTGAGCCCAAGAGTTTGAGGTTGCTATGAGTTATGATGCCATGGCTCATACCAGAGCGACAGACTTTGCCCCCTCTACCCCAAAAAGTGTGGAGGTCAACTGGCACTATTCTAGAACACAGCCTATAAAGTTATAAAGTAGTAAAGTAATTCTAGAGCATGGACATGCATTATCAAAAGTGGACCACTAGTGTTCCAGAAACATGAGTTACTGGGTAAAGACCTCATGTGAGATTTAAGGGTGGAGCATCTGTGTTCCAGATTCCCTCCCAGGTGAAACTGAGGAAGCACCTTCATAGGTCTAGATCAGGCATCCTCAAACTATGGCCCACAGGCCACATGCAGCCCACCTAGGACATTTATCTAGCCCGCCGGGTGTTTTTGCCGCTGCTGCCTGTCCTGCTTAGCAGCCAACTTGTCCCAGGGCCTGCAGTCCAGCCCTCCAACGGTCTGAGGGAACAGAGAACTGGCCCCCCTGTTTAAAAAGTTTGAGGACCCCTGTTCTAGATCCTTGGGTGTTGCCTATATTGTCATGTGATAGATTTTAGACCCCTGGGTTTATAGAAAAGAGGATGGACAGTAGGATTTCAGAACCACAATGAAAATGTCAACAATGGACGTGAACTTTCTAGGATCATGAAGATTGACGATGGACTGTCAGTGTCTTGAACTGTGGCCCTTTGACAGAGAATGGCACATTCAAGATCCTGGACTGGGCTGTTAAACTGGGGCCAATGGATTGGTATTTTCTCAGGCCAGAGTTCTAGGATAGAAAGTAGGTAGAATGTTCTGAGGCTAGATGTAGTATCAGGAATTATCTCTTTTAGGGAATATAACCATGTGATTGGCTTTGGGTACCAAACTGCCCAAATTTGGATCCCAGCTGTAGCACTAGCATTGCAAGTAGGTTATAGGCCCATCAACTTTTGTCATCTGTTAAATGGTCTTTTGTTGAAATACAGCAAGACGGAGTTTAAAGCACCAGGCCCAAAGCTCGTATTACTTGTAGCAGACCCTGAAAGGCTTGGCAGGGATGCAAGACATAGCAGGAAGGTAAAAGGGGACAAAGACAGGGGCATGAAAACATGGAGAAACAGAATCTCTGACAGGGCCCGTTGGAGCTCAGGGGAGGGCAGGAACTGAACACATACTAGTCACCAGCACGTGCCCTGAGAGATGCCAGTCTTACACTATGGTCTTTAGGAGCTTTGGAACACCAGTGGCTGTGAATATTCCAAAAAATGGCCTGCCAGTTGTTTCAAAGGTTTGTCCACTGTGTGCCTTTTTTTGGGCAGGCAGTAATTTTAGTCACCTTAATGTGCATCTTGGTCCTGCAAGAAGCAGAGTGTCCCAGCCAAGAATTTGGCCCCTTTGGATATTGTAAGAAAGACTCAGAAATGCCAAGGGAGTGTTGATTATGGGAGAGAGAAATTGGCACAGGACTCCTTTCTGCTGAGAGGACAGTACCATTGGCTGGGGCTTAGGTGGATGTGTCAAACTGATAGGAATACTGCCTCCTGCTCTGCCCCTTCCTTGAGTCCTGCAGGGTGAGCCCACTGTGTGCAGAGGTTGTGACAGGGAGGAATGCAAACATGCATGTGGCACAATGCATCTGAGCCTCACTCCCAGGGCGGAGGGTTGATTACAGGCCAAGGATCCTGTGAGAATGGAACCCGGAAAGGGATATTTAGCTAATCAGTGTTCTAATCTAGGATACAGAGGGACATTGATGGTTCTGGAGCAGAATGGAGAACACTAGACCATAGTCACTAATAGTGAACACTTAGTACCTACAAGATGCTGTGCTTATTCTCTCCTTCTGCTCCCTCTCACCTCTCCCCATCCTGTAAAGTAGCTGTGATTGCTTCCATTTTACAGGTGAGAAGACTGAAGTGACAGAGTTAAAATTGAATCCAGGCAGCCAGGCCATGCTCCACCTTGGACCAGGAAGCAGGCTATGGGGGCAGGTTTGAGTGAGAGCATTCAGAGATCAGGGGCTAGGGCGGGGAGAGCAGATTGGTAACTGGTGCTGAATGTCAGATGAAGCCAAAGTTCCAAGGATTGAAGGCTCTGTTGAGGTTTCAAGCCTGGTATGTTGAATAGGTTTTGGTGTTTCAGCAGGCTTGGGCCAAACATGCTTGGGAGGTCGGTAGATGGTGGTCTCCAGTTGCTTCCAGCCTTCCAGGGTAGTGTGCAGCAGCCAGGATTGGGGGTCCTGGGTTGCAGTGGGGCAGTCTGAAGGTTCTCAGGATATGGATGAACTTTGGGTTTCCTGACTAAAGTATGTTGTCCATTCCTATAGCCTTGAGACATCTCACACTTCTGCCCCTCCCACAGGAGGGAGGCTCATGGGTTTGTCCACAATGGCCCCAAGTTGAATTCAGGGTTTAGGTTTCAATGTCAGTCCTATTGGGAACATTCTGGAATGGAGAACTTGCCAGATGGCTGCTTGGACAACATTCCACCCACCTGTCCTTCCCTCTTCAACCAAAAGGCCTTTCTCAATATATCCTGAAAGTGGGAACTAGGTAGGCAGGGTTTGTACCTTTTGCTGCCTTTCTCCAAGGTCCTGGAACCTTCTAGAACAACATTGTCTAATAGCCCTTTTAGCAATGATAGGAATGTTGTATATTTACCCTGTCCATTAGGGTAGCCACTACCATGTGTGACTGTTGAGCTCTTGAAATGTTGCTGCTGTGACTAAAGAACTGAGTTTATTCAAAACAGCCACATGAGGGCCAGGTGCAGTGGCTCACGCCTATAATTCTAGCACTGTGGGAGGCTGAGGCAGGTGGATTGCCTGAGTTCACAGGTTCCAGACCAGCCTGAGCCACAGCAAGACCTTGTCTCTAAAAATAGCCGGGCATTGTGGTGGGTGCCAGTAGTCCCAGCTACCTGAGAGGCTGAGGCAAGAGAATCACTTGGGCCCAAGCAAGAGTTTGAGGTTGCTGTGAGCCATGATGCCACAGCTTTCTACTGAGGGCAACAGAGTGAGACCAAAAAAACAAAAAGCCACATGTAGCTTCTACCTGCCATGAACAGTGTGGTTCTAGAACTTTCCAGGAAAAGAAAATTTTTACATCGGATGTTCAACCTTTATCCCAATAAAATACCCACAAAAATAGAAAAAGGTTCCCTGTCGAAGAAGGGTGATCCACATCCCTGACTTGACTCATTCTCTTTGCCCCCTTCACCTCCCCAAACAGTGGGTTCTAGATTGGAGGTGGAGCAAGGCATTTGGGTGTGCCCTGAATTTGCTCACCTCTAAACCCATTTCTCCCTCCTTTTTAAATAATTTTTTGAGACAGGGCTCACTGTGTTACCCAGGCTGGTCTTGAATTCCTACACTCAAGTGATCTCAGCCTCCTCAGTAGTTGGGTGAGTTTTCTTTCCTTTTTTTTTTTTTTTTGGTTGCAGTTTGGCCGGGGCCAGGTTCCAACCCACCATCCTCAGTATATGGGGCCAGCGCCCTACTCCCTGAGCCACAGGTGCAGCCCAAGGGTGGGTTCTTTAACAGAAAAAAGAAAGGGTTAGGGTTGGGCATGGTTGCTTACTCCTGTAATCCTAGCACTCTGGAAGACCGAGGTAGGTGGATTGCTTGAGCTCAGGAGTTTGAGATCATCCTGAGCAATAGTGAGACCTCATCTCTACTAAAAATAGAAAAATTAGCAGGGCACTGTGCCTGTAGTCCCAGCTACTTAGGAGGCTGAGGCAGGGGAATTGCTTTAGCCCAAGAGTTTGAGGTTTCAGTGAGAAAAAAATAAAAACACCTCCAGGCTGGGTGAGGTGGCTCACTCCTCTGTAAATCCTAGCACTCTGAAAGGCCAAGGCGGATGGACTACTTGAGCTCTCAAGTTTGAGACCAACTTGAGCAAAGCAATACCCCGTCTCTAGAACAACAACAACAAAAGGGCAAGATCACTTGAGCCCAAGAGTTGGAGGTTGCTGTGAGCTATGATGCCTAGGCCCTCTATTCAGGGCAACAACTACAGACTCTGGCTCAACAAAAAAAAAAGAAAGAAAGAAAGAAAACACCTCTTGACATTGGCAGTGGCATTTATATTTCAAGGGGAGGGGAGTTATATACAGCAGTGACCCAGAACCCCTCACCCCACCAGGGTCTTGGTTGGGGAAAAGAGGCATTGGTAGAAGGCACACAGTGGTGACAGCCCAGAGGAGGCCAAGAAGTAGGGGTGGGGGATGTAGTGTGTCCTGGGAGACCCAGATGAGGAAACTGAGGCTCCGCAAAGGCCTCAAGTCACACAGCAAGGTTTGAGGATAGGTGGTCCCAAGAGCTCATGCTGGTTGCTTCTCTCTCACTTAGGCTACAGGAGGACGCAGGGGCAACCCCCACCCTTCTTCTTGGGAGCACTGGGGGGACTGGGTGGGAGCTCCTGTTCTTGGAATTTCCTATGGGAAGAGGCCAGTGAGTTTGGGCTGGAGGGGCTAAGGACAATGATGATGGGAAGGGGCTCGGCTTACCGGACAGCTCGCACCAGCTGCTCGAAGGCCTCATCCACATTGAGGCGCAGTTTGGCTGAGGCCTCAAAGTAAGCCACATGGTGGGAAGCGCTGAAGGCCAGTGCTTCAGATCGGGGGACCTGGGAGGCAGAGAACATGGGAGAAGTCAGGTCCCTGCAATTCTGGACACCGCAGGCCAGGAAGAATTCGGTGGAGCACGAGAGGCAGACAGGCACACTATGTGCTTTTGTAGAGGTGACCCACTGTGGGACTCAAGCAAAAAGGTAAAGTTCCCAGTGAGATCACGGCAGGAGATACTGAGAGGACTTGATGCCATCAAACTGTGGAATTAGGGCAGGCTTTGCACTCTTGGCCTGAAGGCACCAGGACTTGGTTAGGCAAAAAAAAAGTAAGGGTGTTCTCAACAGAGGCCAGCGATCCTGAAAGGCTGGAAATTCAAGTGCTGTGTAGAAATCACGGTAGCGAGGGATGTGGTGGGAGCAGAGAAAGGAGGGGACATGGCCACGCTGGGTAATCTGGTGACCTAGAAGGTCTGGTTTCAGGGTGACATCTAGGTGAGGAGTGTGACAATGGAGGGAGCCAAAGGAGCCAAAGATGCTGACATGCAGAGAAACATGTTGGAAAGAGCCTCCCAGGCTCTGAAGGGGTCCCTAGGCAAGTGGGGTGGTTCCAAACCTGGCGCTGTGTCTCCAAGTCTGCCTTGTTCCCAACCAGCACAACGGGGTAGTCATCCCGGTCCTTGACTCGGAGGATCTGTGTGAAGAGCTTGCCCACCTCGTTGAAACTGCAAGCAAAGCAGAAGTGTGACCTGCCAGCCACTGGGCTCCAGTCTCTTCCACCCACTCCACCACCTCTCTCACCTCTGCCGGTCGTTAATGGCAAATACCAGCAGGAAGCCGTGGCCAGCGCGCATATACTGCTCCCGCATGGCCCCGAATTCCTCCTGGCCTGCGGTGTCCAGAACTGCAGAGACAGGGAGAGGTGCCATCATGGGGATGAGACTCCCGCCAGCCACCCCCACAGCCCTCAGCCCCTGCCAACACAACCCCATCTATTCTGGGCTGCCCTCACTGTCCAGCCGGGCCGGGATGCCATCCACAGTGCAGATCTTTGTGTAGGAGTCCTCGATAGTGGGGTCGTAGTCAGACACGAAGTAGGACTGGTGGAGTGGGGAGAGGACAATGTCACTGCAGTACCCCAGCAGACAATATGACTGCTTCTTTCTGGAGCCCCAAGTCACTGACCCCCTCTATCTGATCTCCCCTAGCTGGGTCTGTGTCCCCTCTGTCTCTTTAGGTCTCTATTTCCCTCTATCTAGGTCTCTATCCCCTTCTCTTTGCTCTTTGGGTATCTGCTGCCCACCCACCCCCCAATTTCCTCTCTGTGAGTCCCTCCTGGTCCTGTCTTTCTGGTCTAAAGTACATTTCCCACATTCCCATGTTGTGATTATATCCTGGCCATGAACTTAACCAGACACTCCCCCTCGCAAAGCCTCAGTTTCCTCATTTGGAAAATGAGGATGTTAATAGCACTACACCTAATCCAGCACCAGTGAGATCTAGAGAAAATTCCCACTAAATATTTAATATTTAGCTCTGATACAGACTATCTACCAGTTTTTATCTCCCGCTCCTCTTCCTCCTCTACCCCTTTCCCCTCCTCCTCAAGTGCCCTCCAGCGCCTCCTCCCAAGGGAAGGTCCCTGTTCCAATCCGGCTGAGGAGAAGCTGCCCCACCCTCAGGCTGGGCCCCTCCCTTCCTGCCTGGGTCCCGCCTAGTCTGCCTCCAGCCAGGCCTTTGGCTAGCTCTGGGTCTGCCCCTGGGTGCAAGGGGCCCAGGGATGGGGCCTTTATGCAGACAGGACTCTGTTACAGGTGCTTTCTGGGGTCTGCAGAGGGGTCTGGGTCCCGGGGCCTTTGCAGTAGCATCTTGAGGCAGACACCTTTCTGGGGTTTCTCTAAGGTGGGGTGGGCTTCCCTTGGGAATGTGGTGGAGGTTTCCTGGGCAGGAGTAGAGTTTCAGGAGAGAAAGGGTGATCTGGAGGCTGCATCCCATCTGTTAGAGGGGTGTTTGGTAAGGGCTTGGCCCAGAGGGAGAATGTAGGAACCCCGAACCAAGCTGACTAGGGGGTGAGGGGTTTAGGAGCATGTCTTTAGCACATCTAGAGAGGCTCAGGGGCTAGGGTCCAGTCTTAAGGTGGCTCTGGGGGCACTTAGGAGGTTTGTTATAGAATGTACAATCTTAAGAGAACTTGAGATGAATTTATGGGGTCCCATAAATCCTAAGGAGCAATTGTTTTTGAAGGTGTCAAGAATCTGGGGGTTTCTTCCTTGGATATGATTTGGGGGCCATCCAGGGTCTCAGAGAGGTAGAATAGAAGAAAACTCAAGATGGAGGAGTGGTTGGTTTTCCTCAGGAGTGAAGTGGGTCTCAAGGAATGGGGGATGGCTAGGACTTGAAGTCTTGGAGAGTTCTGAAGTGGGTAAGGGGCTGGACTTTTTTTTTTTTGCAGTTTTTGGCCGGGGCTGGGTTTGAACCCACTGCCTCTGGCTTATGGGCCAGCGCCCTACCCTTCTGAGCCACAGGCACCGCCGTGGGGCTGGACCTTTTAAAAAATCTCCTGGGTCTGATTGGGCTTAGTGGCTCATGCCTGTAATTCCAGCACTCTGGGAGATGGAGGTGGGTAGATTGCCTGAGCTCAGGAGTTTGAGACCAGCCTGAGTAAGACTGAGACTTCTGTGTCTACTAAAAATAAAAAAACTAGCTGTTGGGCGGCGCCTGTGGCTCAAAGGAGTAGGGTGCTGGCCCCATATACTGGAGGTGGCAGGTTCAAACCCAGCCCCAGCCAAGAACTGCAACCCCCCCCTCGCCCCCAAAACTAGCTGCTGTGGTGGAGGCCAGTAGCTACTCAGTTACTCAGGAGGCTGAGGCAAGAGGATCCCCTGAGCCCAGGAATTTGAGGTTGCTGTAAGCTATGACACCAGAGCACTCTATCCAGTGCTACAGAGTAAGACTGTTTAAAATGTTTTTTTCTTGAGTCTAAAGGCAAATTTTCTTGGAGCAAGGGTTAGAGGGTGCCTCTCTCTGGACTGGATAGTCCCAGAAGAGCCTTAGGGCCAAGGTTTCTAGATTATGCCCAGACCTCTAGGGGAGATAGTTGCAATAAATACAGGCTGGGGAGCCTCAAAGGTTCTGGGCATAGGCATTTTCCCAGTGATGCTCCCAGTGGCTCTGAGAGAAACTGAAGTCCAGGGTTAAAGGGAGACAGCTCAGGATGGAGGGAGGTCGCATCAAGGGGGGGGGGGGATGCTGGGAATGCTTAGGGTCTGAATGGAGGGCTGTTCTGTATTTAGGATGCTCCCAGGAAGTGGTCAGGGCTAGGTCAGCAGGGATGTGGGGTCTTAGGGCTAGGTCAGCACTGGTGTGGGGTTGAGGGTCTCTGGATGCAAATGTAAGATCCTTAGTCTAGGGGGATGAAGGCCCTCAGGGAGTTTAGAGTCACAATCTGAGGGGATTTTTTAAGATTAAAGGGGCTCAAGGGAGGGTTTCAGTGATGGATCAAGGGGAAATCGGGGTCTTGGGGATCCCCAAAAGGTCTAGTTTTGTATCCCGAAGGCACCCTTCCGGGTGAGGGCCCACTACCTGGATGAATTGGATGGTCAGCGCGCTCTTGCCCACGCCGCCGCCGCCCACGACCACCAGCTTGTGTGTCTCGCTGGGCGGGGGGTCCCCGGGTCCCGGCCCCCCGCCCCGGGGCTGCCCCCGCCCGGTCCCGGACGCCGCCCCGCTGCTCATGTCGCCACTGCTGCTGTTGCCGCTGCCGCTGCTACCGCTTGGGGGGAGCCGGGCGGGACCCGGGGGCCGGCTACGCTAATGAGGCTCCTGCATAATCATGAGCTCTGGCAATAAGGGCTTGCGTCCCGGGACACTTAAGGAGGGGGCAAGGCCAAGGAAAAGGAGGAACTATGCTAATAATGGCAGGACAACCGCAGACCCTGAGAAGGGGAATTCCTAAGGGGGCGGAGATATGCTAATCACAGAACTGTGCAGTCCCAGAGCAGCGCCACGCGCTCACAGTTGGCGGTAGGTCTCTGGGAGGGGCTATGCTAATAAGAATTTATTGGGCAGATAGGACTAGAAGTTTGTTCAAGGAGGGGCTATGCAAATAAGGACCCCTGTGACATAGCTTCTCCCAGCACCATCTTAAAGGCCTTATTCTGGTAGGCGGGGCTCGCCGACCAGTGTGCGGCCGTATATAGGGCGCTCGGGGGAAGCAGCAGGTTTTGAGAAGTTTCACCGGGATCCTAGCCAAGCTCTTGACCCGGGCGTCTAGGTTAGGAGCGGGAGTCTCCGCCCTCTAAGGAACCCAGGCTTCCGGTTCCCGCTGTCCCAGCCAAGCGGAAGACAGACTGGGAGGGGAGATGGGGCCCTAGAGGGGAATAGCTGTCTAATTGGAAGGGAGGAGCCCTGAGATCACTGCATTCCTAATCCATTAGCCAGTTAGCCCAAATCGGGACGCCTGGGTCATGAAGGGCCTGGGGCCAGATTTCTTGGTCCTGAAGGAGGAAGCTGACGGTCCAGACATCTAGGTTCTTGGGAAAGAATGGGGCTGGAGACTTGTACTTCTGGGTCCTAGGAAGGAGACTCCCTGGAGGAGGGTTTCTGGGAGTCCTTGGTACTAGCTTCAGTAAAGGAGAGAACCGAGTGCTGGATTCTTTAGGAGTGGAAGAGGCTGGCAACCCAGGATTCTGGGTCTGAGCAGGGGCACTGAGGTGGAGAAACCCGAATGTCTGTAAGGCGCGAGCTTGTAGTCTGAGGCCCCAACTTTTGGGGCCTGGGAAGGACAGACTCCTGATTCCGAGGGAGGAGGGAAATAGGAGTCGTCGACTCCTCTGCTCTGAATGAGCAGCTTCGGAATTGGGATTTCTCCGTACTGAATGAGGAGGCTGTAGGGTCGGGTTCCTTGGTTTTAAATTAATTTTACTTTTATTTTTTGAGACGAAGGTCTCACTATGTCGCTTGGGCTGGTCTCTAACTTCTAAGTTTTTATTAGCATAGCCCCGCCCAGAGACCTTCCTCCAGGACTTCTCTAATGTCCTGGGCTGGAGCGATCCTTCCGCCTCGGCCTCCCAAATAGGACTACAGGCGCGCGCCACTGCACCCATCAGTTCTATATTTAGGAGAGACTGGGTAAAGAGGATTCTGAGAGCCCCAGGATGTGGGCGGGGCAACTTCCATCCAGGTCTGCTCACTCCAGCAAACTACAATTTCATTGCATCTGTTCGGCTTAGCGGCTCTGCGTCACTTCCGGATTCCAGCCCTTTCCGTGTACGCCCAGGGCGCTTTGGGGGGGGCTCTTCGCAGGCTACCGCAACCCCGCCCACTTCACCTCTCACCCCTTACAGTCCCCGCGCGACCGAAGTGGCGCATGGACTACGCCTCCCGGCGTGCGTTGCGCGTACTCCGCCTTGTGTGCCCCGTTGACTCCTGGGAAACCGAGTCCAGCCGCCTTCCCGCCAGCCTTCACGGCACCGTAGTCGGTATTTGAAATCCCGGCAAGCTCGGCGGCGCTTTAGCTCCGCCTCTCTCCTCCTCTGCTCGTGAGCCCCGCCCCAGCCCGCTCCGCCCCGCGCCGGGGCCGGAGCCGCAGCCCGAGCGGCGGGGTAAGATGGCGGCGGCGGCCCGGGCCGCGGGGCTCGGGCCTATAGGGGTGGGCGGGGCGGAGTCGGGTCGCTAGTTGTCCCGGGATCCTTACTACACACCGCAGGGCCTGGAGGTCTTGGCGGGGTGGTCTGCGGTCCGGCAGAAGCGGTGAAACCTGGCGCCAAGCTGGGGGCCTTCACAGGGCCCCGGGACGCATCTTTGGATTTCAGGGGGCATCCATGGGGCGTCTCCGATTGGACTGCGGGTGGCCACAAAGCCTGGAGTGAGCCTAGGGCCTGCCCTCTATCATGTAGCTGGGCTGGATCGTGTCTGTAGGCTCTGTAGAGCGTCTTTATGGGTTGACTGGAGGCTAGGGTCTGCTAGGATGGTTCTGGGGCCATCTTGAGATTTTTGAGAAATGTCCCAGGGGTGAAGAAAGTCTGCAAGAGCTGAGCAGTATCTGCAGAGCCATCTAGAGTGGCCAGGGTATGTCTATTAGGGCTGGGAAGTGTCTACATGGGCTAGCCTGAGGATGCAGCTGGTCTACATAGGTCTGGGACCATTTATTGGGCCTGGAAGTCTTTTAGCGGCTACCTAGAGGGGTGGGATGTGCCCAGCAAAGGAGGGGGCCAAATACTGAGATGTTCTGAGAGGCTCCAGTGGATCTCCAAGGTCTGGGGAGTGTCTAACATGGGTGAGTGACAAGAGGCTAGGGGCAGTTTGAAGGACCTGGAACCATCTAGGTGGCTTTGATGTGACTACAGGAATGCAGTCTCTATGCCTGGAGCAAATTCAGATGCCTTTGGGGCCAGGAAAAAACGTGTAGAGTAATACAAAAGAGAGTGTTGGAAATTTTGCCCAGCTCATATGTACTTGCCCTTCAGAAAATAATTCAAATGAAAAATGTTTAAAAATTCTGTGTAACCCTAGGACTATAGAAAGCATTAGTCTGGAAGAGTTTGTAGGATCATCTAGTTTTCATCTAGTACTGTTTTTCAAACTCTGTTGACCTTGATTTGCAGTAAGGCATAGAGTTTTCATTAAGAGCCAGTCCATAGCAACATAGAGATTTAACTAGTATCAAAATCCCATAAATTGATATTTCTACTTACTACTTGTAACATACTGTGGAGAAATTTCTCTTGTGTTCTATTTGCTTTTTATAACAAGCTCAAGCTATTTGTGGAGCAATAAACTGCTCTCAGACCCTGCAGTTTGGGAAACACTGTTCTAGACAGACTTAGCAGCATCTACAGAATCTTCTTACGTCTGTAAGATCTAAGAAACCGAGGGTGTGTCTGCAAAGTCTGGGGCACATCTTAGTGAGCAAGCACACTCTTTGTACATGTACACTGCAGAGGATTTGGGGTCTCCAAGTCTATTCAGCAGATGTTGGTTAAGTTTCTGATATATGACAGTCACAGTTCTAGGTAGCATTTTCTTCCTTAGGAGGTGCTAGAAGTGGCTCCAGGGCTTGGAATTGTCCACAGGGCCAAGGGTATTGAATGTTGACAAGAGGCAAGGATGTAATAGACCAGTGGTTCTCAACCTTACTAATGCCGTGACCCTTTAATATAGTTCCTGTGGGTCGCGACCCACAGGTTGAGAACTGCTGTAATAATTAGGGCAGGGTGTGTCTTTGGAGTTAGGGACTAGGCCAAGCTAGGCTAAATGTGAAGCTTTGACATAGCTTGAAAATCTATGGTGGGATGGAGAATAAGGCCAATGTCTTTTCTGTACATTTATACAGCAGAAGTGAAGGAGGTAAGGGAAACTTGGGCCTTAAGGGTTTATAATATAATTACTATTAATCTGTATTGAACAATTTGGGTTTGATACATGTGTGTAGCAGAAATCAGTCTTTCTCATAGTCATTCTCCAAGATAGATATGACTATTTTGTCCATTTACAGATAAACACACTGATTTATGGGTTAGGGGATTTGAAGCTTTCTAGGAATTTTGAGATTGGGTTATAATACTCAGTATTATTTTCTGAGTAGCAGATTTGACAGTCACAGGGAAGCTTACAGCTAAAATACTCTTGTTAAGCCCCAACCAAGAGACCACCAGTTTTAAGGATGATCTTTTAACTGCCTGACTAGACAATCTAAGAGTTTTCTTGACATTGCAAAGGCTTTGGGCAGATAGATGATAAACAAATGCCCTGCATTGGGGGATAGCATGCCTTTCCAAAGCTTAACATTTTCATTTTTAAAGTGGCATACTTGTCTGGTCATGGTGGCTCATGCCTGTAATCCCAGCACTCTGGGAGGCTGAGGTGGGTGGATTGCCTGAGCTCACAGGTTAGAGACCAACTTAAGCAAGAGCAAGCCCCTGTCTCTAAAAAAAAAAAAAAATAGCCGGGCATCGTGGTAGGCGCCTGTAATCCCAGCTACTCTGGAGGCTGAGGCAAGAGAATTGCTTGAGCCCAAGAGTTTGAGGTTGCTGTGAGCTGTGGTGCCTGGGTACTGTACCAAGGGTGACAAGTGAGAATCTCAAAAAAAAAAAAAAAAAGGCATGCTTATATTGCACTATCATGGTTCTATCTTATTTATGTAAATATTTTTGAGGTCCTGGCTCGGTGCCTGTGGCTCAAGTGGCTAAGGCGCCAGCCACATACACCTGAGCTAGGTTTGAATCCAGCCCAGGCCACCAAACGACATGATGGCTGCAACCAAAAAATAGCCGGGCATTGTGGTGGGTGCCTGTAGTCCTAGCTACTTAGGAGGCGGAGGCAGGAGAATTACTTGAGCCCAGGAGCTGGAGGCTACTGTGAGCTGTGATACCACAGCACTCTACCCAGGGTGACAGCTTGAAGCTCTGTCTCAAAAAAAAAAAATTAAAAAAATATTTTTGAGGTCCTTACTGTCAAGGACAACTGATGCTTTATGAAGCATGTGGGGAGTTTGAGGTATGGTCTGGAATGCCCCCAGTATACTGGTGCATGCCTCAATCTTGGAAAGGTTTTTTGGACCATGGAACACACTCTTTGAAATCACAATGTAACACACAAATCTCAGTTTTGGGTTTGCATTCCATGAGGATAGGGAATGAGGTCTTGAGGTTTGGATAGGCTGTGGTGAAGCAGTGGGAACTGGGGAGTGAGATGTTGAAATTGGAGCCCGGGGAGGCTTCCTTCTGACAGATGAAGCAGCTGAAGTCCAAAAAGTGGAAGAGCACTGCTCTGGTCCCTGTGGTGTCTATGCTCGGCCTAGTACTTGCCCAAGCATTGGAGCAGACTGGTGTGAGGTGAAGGAGGAGAGGGGTATGAAGATGATGCTAGGGAGGCAGTGTTGAAGGCCCTTGAGGTCTTCATGTCATTCTTGCTTCCGCCCCCAGCCTCCACTCCAAACTCTTGCCTCCTCAACCATCAGGTGACCATGGAGGAAGAAGATGAGTCTCGAGGGAAGACGGAAGAGTCGGGTGAAGATCGGGGTGATGGTCCACCGGACAGAGACCCCACACTCTCTCCTTCTGCCTTCCTCCTGGTGAGGCTGCTGCACTCCTGGGGCTGAGGGAGGGAGGAACTGGGAACCCTGACTCCTGGGCCAAAAGGGGATGACGGGTCTGGGGCCTGAACTCTTGGCTCTTGTGAAGTGCTTAAGTCTGGTTGTTGGGGTGTCTGGAATATTTGTCTCAGAAGGAGCAGAGGGTGCAAAGCATTTGCATGAGTCCCCTGATTCTTGGTTCTCCCCTGCCCTTTTCCCAGCGTGCCATTCAGCAGGCTGTGGGAAGCTCACTGCAGGGGGATCTGCCAAATGACAAAGGTATGGTGCTTCCTTTTAGCTGTTGTCCTTTCTGTGCAATTTTGTTACACTATCATTGATATAAACTTTTCTGAGGCCTCCTGGGTGCTACCCTTGTGCTAGCTTAGGGAGTCAAAGATGGAGCAGATCCCATAACTGCCATGGAGGCGAGACCCAGTCTTAGCCTCATGAGAGGGAGTAGGTCTCCCTAAGCTAGTGTGGTGGAAGGAGACAGGTCAGGGTTGGCATCCTAGAGGGTGACAGGTGTTCAGGGTCTCTGAGTTGGCAGATTAGAAAAAGGTTGATAGGCAGTAGCAGGGGCACAGCCTTGAGGGACTGCATCCTGGTTTGTGGGGGCTTATGTGCAGGAGGGTATGAGTGGGGTGAGAGGGTAGATGTAGGGGAGGCAGAAGAGATCTGTGGGGAACCAACAAGGCTCAAATGCCAAGCTGAGGTATCTGAGGGCAGATAGGAGGATAAATGGGTGAGAGTTGGAGCCTGAGAAGTGGGTGTTGGGAGGTGCTCCAGAAGTCTTAGCTGGGAGGCAGCACAAAGTGGGCTGCAGAGCTGGCAGGAACTTGGCCCCATTATCAAGAGCTGGATCAGGTCCTCTTTCCTCTCCCTGAAGAGGTCTCTGTGCCTAGTCTCCTGTCTCTGATCCCTCATGCAGATCTCTCTCTCTAGATGGTTCTCAGTGTCATGGCCTTTGTTGGAGGCGCTGCCGGAGCCCACGGTCAGAGCCTCGTTCCCAGGAATCAGGGGGGAATGACACAGCTTCTGTGAGTAAGAGAGGGCTGGACACCTATACTCACAGGTGTGAGAGAGGAAGAAACAGAAGCCTGGATCCCTGAGTTTGGGGGAGGTGGGGGTTGGAGACCCAGATTCTTGGCATTAGGGTGTTGATCAAGGGCAGTGTTGGAAAGGGGTCTAGGGGCCTGATTTCTGGGTCTAGAGTTGGGCCTTGAGTCTGGAAGTCAGTCACAGTAAGAGAATTGGTTGGATCCTTGAGTTTTCTTGTGGGCCATGGTTATCTGGGTTCCTGAGAGGTTAGATATGGGAAAAATAGTGTTTGCTAGTCCTCATATGAGCAGGGACAGTGTGGAGCCCCTCCTGGCCTATTCCAGGTGTTGGACATGGCCGCAGACAGCTTCCTCACGGGGCTGGTGAGTGTCCTGGACCCCCCGGATACCTGGGTTCCTAGCCACCTTGACCTGCGGCCTGGCGAGTGAGTAGCTGGGCAGGGGAGTGGGAGAGGCCCTGATGTGAGAGTTGGAAATACCCTGAGGCTCAACCACCCCTTCTGCAGAAGCGAGGACATGCTGGAGCTGGTAGCCGAGGTCCGAATCGGAGACAGGGATCCTATCCCTCTGCCTATACCTAGCCTGCTTCCCCGTCTTAGGGCCTGGAGGACAGGCAAGACAGGTATGTGGGGCCAGTGTGGAACTGGGCAAGTGGCCTTGGCGCTTTGCAGGAAACAGCTGTTTTTCACAGTGATAGCAGTGATGATCATGTCACTCAGACAAAACCTATAACTATTTTTCATGTTAGACTGAGATCACGGTTATATGTGCATACGGATATACATAATGTAAAAACCAATGCACTGGGGCCTACGCAGGAACAGTTAGCATGTATGAGACACTGGGTGTTCCTGCTCCAGTGGGGGTTGCTCTCAGGGCCTCCATCTTCCAGAGAGTAAACAGTCTTAAAGAGGGAAGTCACTATTCAAGGTGACACTTAGTGGTGGGCCTAGGCTTAAATTCCAGTGTGTCTGAGTTTAATTTGATATCTGTGATGTGCAGTACCCAATGAAGACTCACTCCTAACCTTGCATGCAGCGGTAAGCTGTGAGCAGTTTAGGTCAAATCAAAGGGTGCATCAGTATCACCAGGGGTCCTACTCCCATGTTTTTGATTCTGCAAATCTGGGGTAGGGCTTGACAGTTTGCATATATATATTTTTATTTTTTGAGACAGAGCCTCAAGCTGTTGCCCTGGGTAGAGTGTCGTGGCATCACAGCTCATAGTAACCTCCAACTCCTGGGCTCAAGCGATTCTCTTGCCTCTGCCTCCCAAGTAGCTAGGACTATATACAGGTGCAAACCACGACGCCAGCTATTTTTTGGTTGCAGTTGTCATTGTTGTTTGGCGGCCCAGGCTGGATTCGAATCTGCCAACTTAGGTGTATATGGCTGGTGCCTTAGCCACTTGAGCCACAGGCACCAAGCCAACAGTTTGCACTTTTAACAACACATGCTACTAGGCCCAGGGCAGTGACTCACGCCTGTAATCCTAGCACTCTGGGAGGCCAAGGCAGGTGGATTGCTTGAGCTCATGAGTTCGAGACCAGCCTGATCAAAAGCAAGAGCCCATCTCTACCAAAAATAGAAAAACCAAGGCAAGAAGATTGCTTGAGCCTAAATTAGAGGTTGCTGTGAGCTATGACGCTACAGCCCTGTACCCAGGGCGGTAGCTTGAGATTCTGTCTCAAAAAAACAAACAAACCAAAAACACATGCTGCTGATCCCTCCCCACTGATGAGAATCCAGTATTCTTTCTTGGTGGATATGTGTATTGGGAGGGTAGAAGGAAAGGAAGATGTTGGCTCAGGTGTAGTATCACATCAGCTATGAGCGACGGTTCTGTGTAAATTGTGGCTTGAACACCCCTCTTTGCCAGGTCACCTTTACCTTGTTCCTTTTTTTTTCTCTCCTGAGACAGGGCCTTGCTCTATTGCCTGGTTTAAAGTACAGTGGCATCAGCCTAGCTCATGGCAACCTCAAAGTCCTAGGCACAAGTGATCATTTTGCCTACGCCTCTTTAGTAGCAGAGACTACAGGAGTGTGCCACAGTGCTTGGGTAATTTTTCTTTACTTTTTTTTTTTTTTTGAGACAGAATCTTACTTTGTCGCCCTCAGTAGAGTGGTATAGCGTCACAGCTCACAGCAACCTCCAGCTCTTGAGCTTAGGCGATTCTCTTGCCTCAGCCTTCTAAGTAGCTGGGACTACAGGTGCCTGCCACAACACCCAGCTATTTTTTGTTGCAGTTTGGCCGGGGCTGGGTTTAAACCTGCCACCCTCGGTATATGGGGCCGGTGCCCTACTCGCTGAGCCACAGGCGCCACTCAATTTTTCTGTTTTTTATAGAGGCAGGGTCTTACTATGCTGCTCAGGCTGGTCTCGAACCCTTTTTTCTTTTTAACAGCTGCAAGTTCATTTATCCATTAGGCACAGGATACCTGGTGCTTAGAGCCCATGACACTCTTAAGGGCCCACAGAAGTGTTTTAATCTCTCTTAAAATCAGAAACCATAGAGGATAAGGAAACAAATGAGCAGGACAGGGTTCTAATAAAACATTATTTACCAAAATAGGTGGTATGAGGCCAGGCACAGTGGTTGACACCTATAATCCTAGCACTCTGGGAGGCCTGAGCTCAAGGGTTCAAGACCAGCCTGTGCAAGAGGGAGATCCCATCTCTAAAAATTGCTAGGCATTCTGGCAGGCACCTGTAGTCCCAGCCACTCATGAGGCTGAGACAAGAGTATCGCTTGAGCCCAGGAATTTGAGGTTTCTGTGAGCTATGATGTCACTGCACTCTACTGAGGGCAACAAAGTGAGACTCTGTTTCAAGAAAAAACAAACAAAAAAAAACAGGTGGTGTATAAGATTTGGCCCCTGAGCTTTAGGAGTGATGGAAATATCTGGAGCTGATTAGTTTTTTTTTTT